GTTGAGCCCACAGCGTCCTTGGACACATCACAAGTTCTAAGCAGCTGCAGACCCTCACATCACCATACAATCTCACACAAGCGCAGTTGGGAGATGGCTTTGAGACATTGCTGGCTCCCACATGTACATTTTTTTTGTCTATAGGTTGAACCATATGGACTTATGTTCAACCTGACTAACTATGAAGCTCAGCGAAGAATAAGCTCTGGGGAAGACATTGCTGAACAAAAATGGGTTGTTAAGTACCCATTTTTTAAAAGTCAGCAGCTACAGTATTTATAGCTGCTGACTTTTCATTTTAAGAAAAAGAGTGAAGTTCCTCTTTAGGCAATTCTGAAATAACCTTAGCCCCTCCTGTCCATTGAACCCAAAATGAGGAGTTCTTCTTTCACTGGTATTGTCATGATGTTTTTAAGCTGAGACACAGGTGGGTCCACCATAGACAGAGAAATCCATCTTTTGATAGAAATAAGAAAGAAAAACCTAAGTAGAGCACCCATGGTCACTATCAAAAGCTACTGGCGAGTAGACAAACCCTCAATTTCCCTAATGATAATCCATAGTAATTACTGCCTCTGAAACAGGTTTGAGACAGATGCCTTGTTCTCACTTCCAGAGCAGTGCAACTCCACACCCTCTCTAGGGTAGGTTACTATGGCTGAAAACAGAGGATCCCCACAAGCCTAATCCTCAGGAAAGGTTGAGAAAGGAGGTAGGCACCATAGTGAAGTTTTTTAGGTAACAAGGCAAATTGAAATGGAGACACAAATCCCTTAACAACCAAGATAAATGTAAAGGGTATCACAGAACACAAACAAGGGAAGTGATTTGTTCTATTTTACCCTCTGCCCCCCAATGGAGTGAATGGAATGGCTAGTCCTCTTAGCTTTCTCAATCATGTTGACAGAGGCAACAGCCAGATACTGATCACAACAGTACAGCACAAACTAAAAACTGACTGGGAGTACTCTCTATATTATCTGGCCTGTTACCCAGTCAGCAACGTTATCAAAGATCCACAGCAGTAGGAAATTGAAAAAAATATGAAAAATTTTGAAAGGAAGTTCCCATAGGAATATATAGATACTAACTCCTTTACATTAGGCAAAACAATGAGCTTTCTAGCAGTCTGGGCTTTTTGGCCACTAGCAGGGGCCATCCCTAGGCTGTTCTTTTGTTTTGTACCCAGTCGATTTTTGCCAATCGTATATATTCCAGTCCTCACTTAGGCAGTTTTGACTGAGAAGGATGCAAGGATATAACTGGACAAAATACAGTATGAGCTCATATTCTGTCAAAATGTCTGCATATATTTTAAAAATGCAGTCATAGTGGAGATAGCTACTTGTTTTGTGCAGGAGCCCATAAAGTGTTTTATTTGGCCATATCTTTACCATTCTGTGATTGATAGAATATATTTGCCCTGCCCAGTTTGGTGTTAACAAGATTTCTTGGAGTGTGTTAAAGTCTGCTATCCTCATAAGCCCTTTGTTATTCCACCATGAAACCTTTTCAGATACACAAACAGGGATGAAGCGAGTGTCATTTAGAAGAACAGTGTGGGCTAATTTCAAATTGTGTTTGACACTTAACCAATCTCAAATAAAAGGGAGAGAGATAGGCAAAGAATGTTGATCCTATCTCTTTGAGGTATCCACGATTATTGGATCTGATGGCCCCAGTGAGTAAGTCTGAGCTTCTATTTGTCATTGTGGGAACAGAATGTGGGAATAGAATGCTAATGTTTGGGCTACTGAAGAAAAGTGGAATATTTTGAGTAAGTCCAACATCACTAAGGGTTCCAAATTAAATGGAAGTGTATAGTGTCCTTATGTTTATTCTGGGTCTTGTTGCTAAGGTGCTAACAATGTCCTCAAATGTTTTAGCAGCATTGTCCCAAAATTCCATCAGAGCCTGGGGCTTTAGATCTTTTTTGTGTTTATGGCTAGTATCACCTCTTCTATGGAGTTATTTTTCAACCAAGTCTCTATACGTAATAGATAAAATACTGTAGATAGCTGGAGTTTTTTTTAAACATTTGTTCTGTTTGGGGCAATGATAAACTTGTACATCTTGCATAGATGAATGGGTAGAGTGTAAGTGTTAGCGTGCGTTTTCTTAATTAGATACCACTGTGAAGTTGGAGTTTTAGGAGAGCTGACAAACTTTTTATATAGAAGCATACACTATATTGCCAAAAGTATTAGGACACCCCTCCAAATCATCGGCTTCGGGTGTTCCAATCACCTCCATGACGACATGTACATAAAATCAAGCACCTAGGCATGCAGACTGCTTCTACAAACATTTGTGAAAGAATGGTCACTCTCAGGACCAAGCATGGTACCGTGATAGGTTGCCACCTGTGCAATAAATCTATCCATGAAATGTCCTTGCTACTAAATATTCCACCGCCAACTGTTAGTGGTATTATAACAAAGTGGAAGGAACTGAGAACCACACCAACTCAGCCATGACGTGGTAGGCCATGTAAAATGACAGAGCGTGGTCAACGCATGCTGAAGCGCACAGTGCTCAGAAGTCGCCAACTGTCTGCACAGTCAATAGCTAAAGACCTCCAAACTTCATGTGGCCTTCAGATTAGCACAACAACGTTGTTGCTTAATAGAATGGGTTTCCATGGCCAAGCAGCTGCATCCAAGCCTTGCATCACCAAGTGCAATGCAAAGCATTGGATGCAGTGGTGCAAAGCACGCTGCCACTGGACTCTAGAGCAGTGGAGTCATATTCTCTGGAGTGACGAATCAAGCTTCTCTGACTGACAATCCGATGGATGTGTCTGGGTTTGGCAGTTGCTAGGAGAACAGTACTAGCCTGACTGCATTGTGCCTGATGTCACAAATGAACTTCTGGAAGAATAGTCAAACATTCCCATAGACACACTCCTAAACATTGTGAACCAACCCAGAAGAGTTGAAGTTGTTATAGCTGCAAACGGTGTGCAAACTCAATATTCGGCCCTACGGACTAAGACTGGGATGCCATTAAAGTTCATGTGCGTGTAAAGGCAGGTGTCCCAATACTTTTGGCAATATAGTGTATAAATAACTTCTTAATTGCAAAAAGAAACAGGCAGCTCCTGTGAAGAGGCATGCTGCCGCAACACGTGTGAGCAAGATGGGTAATCCTCCTTTAAGTTAATGGATTTCCACAGGTTACAATCAAAATTATCTTGCATTGGGGGTGTGGGTAGCACCTCAACCCAATGGCTGCCTGATATCTGAGCTCCTGGAGCCGACCGGATAACCACCGCAAAAGGAGACCCTTCTGAACACTGACTTGCGCACCTGTCACAATCAGACATCAGAGACATACCAGACAACATGTCCTGCAAACAAACAGAAGAGTGGCTGCCACGGAAGCTCATGGCAATCTTTACACAGCCGACAAGCAGGGGAAGCCATGATGGCACCTACGCCTCAGTCGCCAGCAGCAGTACTGCATACCCAGACCTCCCGGATGCCTCCTCTCGTACAGTGAAAACAACAGAAGATCTCTTTTCACACTCCCTACTAGTCTCTCATTCCATCCAGAGCTCAGACAAAGCATGATTGAATCTAGATAAAGAGCTGTATGCAGCCGAGGTGAGTCCTCAGGATGACACAGAAACTGCACAGGCTACACTACAATCCCCCATCTCATCCTTCCCAACTTTCAATCAACCTGCACTTGACACCACTATGAAAGAAATGCTTATTTCCATGCACAGTTCACTGCATGCAGATTTTGCCTCCATGTTCCACAAATTCACTAAAGAAATAAATTCAGTGGGATAACGGGTGCACATGATAGAAAACAAGCTAGGAGAAGTCCTGTGATATATGAAGATAACCTAGAAGAGCATAAGTGGATCTAGGTGAAGATGGCAGATCTGGAAGACAGATCCCGTCGTAATAATATAAAGATATGCGGCATCCCTGAAAATGTTCAAACATCTGAACTAAATAGATACCCAAAAGAAATCTCTGCACTTCTGCCTAACCTCTCACCTATGGAAATAATTATAGATTGCATCCATCGTCTACCAAAAACATCCCAATTACCAGACACAATACCCAGGGATGTCTTGATGAGAATTCTTTTTTTTTTTTTCCACACTAAAGATCAACTTCTAGCAAAATCCAGAGTCCTAGGCACCTTGCCAACTCCTTAAGCAGGGATGTCAAACTGATGGTCCTCCAGCTGTTGACAAACTGAAAGTGCCATCATGCCTCTGCCTGTAGGAGCCATGCTTGTAACTGTCAGCCTTGCAATGCCTCATGGGACTTGTAGTTCCACAACAGCTGGAGGGCCCCCAGTTTGGCACCCATGTCCTTTTTCCAATCTCTATATGCTGACCTGTCGCAGCATACAAGATTACTGCAATAGCAAATAAACACGATTACAAAGGCTCTTAACACTCCACACCCAGGAAGGAGACTGACCATGACTTGGTGCGGGAGCTCGATGTGAGGGCTCCTGGCTCCCAAGCACCTCCAGTATCCTGCCGAGAAGGGGAGAGATGTGTGGGAAGCCCTGGAGAGACTAGCCAGGGAGAGGGGGGGCTTGCCTGGCAGGGTGCGTGGACCGAGGACCTCCGGGAGTGGCGGCCATGGCGGTGGGTCTTCCTGTGCTCTTGGCCCGGCGCTGTGTGTTCCCCGGAGCTCAGTGGATGCCGGGCGATCAGGTGATCTGCCGCAAGGGAGCTCTGGGAGGCAGAGGAGCCAGCCAGCGTTTCTTTGAGCAAGGGAGATGCCGGCTCTCTTCCTCCTGTACACAGGACAGTGGCAGATGGAGACACACGGCAATGAGCTTCACCCCCCTGCAATCCACTCATTGTGTGAGTGGAATGTTGAGTGCAATGTTCCCCAGAAGAGACTACCTGGAGCCGCCTCACCCCTCACTTGGAGTAAAAGAAGAGATGTCCTAAAGTGCGGGAAAGTCTCACAGAGAAGTTCAATCTCTATAGAAACCAGAGATCTCACATGGGGGAGAAGTAGTCCTGTTTCGAGTGCAGGAAATGTTTTCCATGTAAGTCCTACTTTTACATATACCAGTGATAATACAAGAGGGGGCAGCCATAACCTTGTTCAGAGTGCAGGAAATGTTTTTCATAGAAGTCCAGTCTGCATACAGTATATATCAGAGACCTCACGTGAGGAAGATGCTATATCCCTGTTCTAAGTGCGGGAAATGTTTTCTCAGATAAGTCTAGACTTTACATATATCAGAGATCTAACACAGGTGAAAAGCCATATGTCTGTCCTGAGTGCGGGAAATACTTTTCAGTGAAGCTTAGTCTCCACACACATCAGAGATCTTACATGGAGGAGAAGTTGCATACCTGTCCGGGTGCAGCAAAAGTTTTTTATATAAGTCCTATTTTTATATATACCAGTGATAACACAAGACAGAGCAGCCATACCCTTGTTCAGAGTGCGGGAAATGTTTTTCACAGAAGTCCAGCCTGCATATATATCAGAGACCTCACATGAGGAAGATGCTATATCCCTGTTTTAAGTGCGGGAAATGTTTTTTTCAGATAAGTCTAGACTTTACATATATCAGAGATCTTACACAGGTGAAAAGCCATATATCTGCCCTAAGTGTGGGAAATACTTTTCAGTGAAGCCCAGTCTTCACGCGCATCAGAGATCTTACACGGAGGAGAAGTTGTATACCTGTTTGGAGGGCGGGAAATGCTTTTCAGAGAAGTCCTTTTCTTCATATATGACAGAGATCTCATACGGGGGAGAAAGTCGTATTGGGGACAAGAGGGTGAGTGAGAGCTGCAAAAGTACTGAGATTAATATATTGCATGGGAACTGAACTGTATGTATTGAACTATATGTTGAAACTGAGGAGGGGTTCTTAGAGGAAAATCAGAAGGAGGACAATGTAAAACAGATAAAGATCTTGAAGAAGAGGACCCGGGTAGATGAGTCCAGGAGTGGGGGGAGAGAAAAAGGAAGAAAAGAGAGGTGGATACCCATGAAAGACAACAAATTTTGATATCAAATCAAAAATAGACCCCCCCCCCCAAAACCAGAAATACGGAAAATTGAAATAGTCCCTGACAGCATGAAAAACAAAGTATCAAAGGGAGGAGGGCCTAAGGCTTCCCAAACAGGGTCAATTAAAAAATATATACCCTGACAGGAGAAACAGACTCCAGAGAGACAACAGGGAATAAGTGTAAGAGGTGAGAGGGAAAACGGCGGGGAATGTTCCAGACTATCCCTGGGAATAGCTAACAGTAGTCAACATATGGAAGAAGAAGTGGATATGGATAAAGTATAAGAACTAGAGGAGAACTCACAGATGCCTACTAAAGGAGAAATAGCAGAAATGTTTAAAGGACTTGAAAGATCCCTAAAACAGGAACTGGCAAAATTACACAAAGACCTGGGGCAAATATTATCAAGGGTGGGGGAGATAGAAGAAAAACTAGATAAACATGCCCAAATTATACAGAAATTAGAAAAACAGGCGATGGAAATGAGAAAAGAACAAAGAAATCTGTTATATAAATTGGAAGATAGGGAGAATAGGGATAGGAGATGCAATCTAAGGAAACAAGGCTTTCCCAACATCACCCAATGTAAGGGATTTCCGGCAAGAAGAATCGCGATCGGAAATGCGCATGCGTGCAGGAATGCGCAATCGCACACGGCAAAGATTGGCGCCAGATGGCCTATTTAAGGAGTGCCTCTGCTCATGTTCAGTGCTGACTGGTCTTCAGCTCCCCCGTGTCCTGCTTGTTCCTGTACGATTCCTTTGTTGCTGACCCGGCTTGTTCCTCACCTGACTGATTGCTCTCCTGATACTGGTTCCTGACTTCGGCTCTGCTCCTGACCTTGGCTTTTCTTTCTGATTCTGCCCGACTATTGATGACCCCGGCTATTCCATCACATTGCTCCTGTCTCTTGTCCTCACTACCTGCCTTGTTCTGGTGCACGCCTGGCAATCTGCAAAACCTGCGCTGCCTACTACTACTGTGCCAAAATCAGAGGATCATCAGCCTTCCAAGGTCTTCATCTGCAAGAGCTGCAAACAACAACTACTGGCGCTCTTGTTCCCCTGGGTCATAGACTCCCTCTGTTCCAAACTCCAGCGGGGTCAGGGCTGGTGACACAAGTGAGGCCGACCTCGTCATTTCAGTCTCCCATCAGGTACGTGACAGTACCAGTCAGCCAGTGATGGAGTCTGAAAGGGAGGCCTCTCCATTGGGGGACATTTGCCAATCAGTATCTGCCTTGTTTAACTTGGTGCAAGATTTGCAGAGAAACTTTGAGCATCTGGAGAGTCAACTGCTAACTGAGTCTAATGACCCCACAGACACGGACCTCACTACAGGCTTAGATGCAACCACTCAAACAGAGCCCAGTGTGATCTTTGGAACCCCTTCCCTACCGGAACCCCGGGTGCCTACGCCTGAGTTTTTTTACAGGAGGCCGCAGGAAGTTCAGAACATTTTGTAACTCCTGCAAGCTATATTTTTCGCTGCTTCCAAGGACCTTTACATCACCAAGCACCAAAGTGGAATTTATCATCACACTTCTTAGGAATGAACCACAATCCTGGGCATGCCACCTTCGTGAGCAACATGATCCGGCTCTAACTTCAGTGGACTCTTTTTTCACAGCAATGGCACAAATCTATGCTGATCCTTTCCTGCATCAAACCGCTGAATCTATGCTTAGTAAGCTACAGCAAGGCCAAAGGCCTGTGGAAGAATACGTTACTGATTTCCGCATCTGGCGTTCCGATACTCAGTGGAACGAGTCTGCTCTCCGCTACCAGTTCCGTCATGGTCTTTCTGACACCCTGAAGGATGAGCTTGCCCGAGTGGGGGGGTACCAACCAGGCTGGAGAACCCGATAGATCTGACGATCCACATTGACCGTCGGATTCGGGGAAAGACAGGATGAGAAGACTAACGGGGAGATTCTGATATGTTCAGAAATTGGGTCCCCAGTGCCCTCCACGAATCGCCCACTAAGCCAGCCAGGAGGAGCTTTTGGAGGCTACAGTTGTCCGCAGCAGAACGCCTTCGACGGCAGAAGTCCAACTTCTGCCTATACTGTGGTGATGCAGGCCATTATGTGGCGACATGCCAATAAGAGACCTCATAAGTCCTCTCCCAATTGGTTCTATATGATGCACCCCCAAGGGACAAGCCAAACGCATCCATCCTTTCATCTTTAACTACAACTGGCCGAAAGGACAATCACGGTCCCGGTCATTATAGACTCGGGTGCTTGTAGTTGTTTTATGGATGCTAACTTCGCTACCCAGAATAAGATTCCGCTCCCTACCAAGGCACAAAAACTTGCAGTTCATCTTGCAGATGGGTCCGGTATCAGTTCTCTGGCCCTGTAACACAAGAAACCATGCCAATATTATTCTACTCCTCAGGACACCAGGAATTTCTATGTCTGGATATCATTACCTCCCTGATTTTTCCAGTTATTCTCGGCATGCCCTGGCTAAGAGCACACAACCCAACCATCAATTGGTTGTCTGGAGAGATCTTCTTCCCTTCGGAGTATTGTCTGAATCCCTGTATGCCTAAAAAAACAAGTATAGCAACTCCTCTTCTCAGTATTCACTCTGATCCCGAGACCATGAAACTCGTTCCTGTGATGTATGAGTATTTGGACGTTTTCAATAAAAAGAGTGCCAATACTCTTCCTCCTCATCGTTCCTATGACTGCCCGATTGAGCTCCTGAACGGCGCCGAAATTCCTTTCGGTCGAATTTACCCCCTATCCGAAGTCGAATTAGAGGTCCTCCGGGGGTATATTGATGAAAATCTGGAAAAAGGGTTTATTCGGCCTTCTACATCCCCAGCAGGAGCCGGCATCTTCTTTGTTGAGAAGAAGGATCACACCCTTAGACCTTGTGTGGACTACTGTGACCTAAACAAGATAACGTTCAAGGATCGTTATCCCATTCCTCTAATTCCCAAATTATTTCAAAGGCTGCGAGGAGCATGTTTCTTCTCAAAATTAGATCTGAGGGGCGCCTACAACCTAGTGAGAATTCGTGAAGGCGACGAATGGAAGACGGGCCTTTTGAACCCGATTCAGGGATTTTGAATACTTTGGTAATGCCTTTTGGTCTCTGTAATGCCCCAGCAACTTTCCAACACCTAGTAAACGATATATTTCGGGACTATCTGGATCTATTCCTAATCAATTATCTGGATGACATCCTGGTTTTCTCCAGTTCTATAGAAAGTAATCGGGATCACGTAAAGAAGACCCTGGATAGACTACGCTAGCATCGCTTTTACGCAAAGGCAGAGAAATGTGAATTTGAGAGACAATCTATCCAGTTCCTTGGACTTGTGATCACCAACGAGGGCATCTCTACGGACCCCAAAAGGTGTCCTCCGTCTTAGAATGGCCCATTCCAGGAGACAGGAAAGCAGTGCAGCTCTTTGTAGGGTTCGCAAATTTCTACAGGAAATTTATCAAAAACTTCTCTGGAATCATCGCACCAGTAACAGCTCACCAGGCAGCATGTTCCCTTCAAGTGGACTCCTAAGGCCCAAGCAGCCTTTGAGCAATTAAAGACCCTGTTCACCTCCGCACCTATCCTGAAGCATCCAGACCCTGCTCTAGCCTTTGTCCTTGAAGTGGACGCTTCGGAAAATGCTGTAGGAGCCATATTGTCCCAAAGACAGGGACTCAAATCCCTTCTGCACCCTGTCACATTCTCTCCAGGAAATTAAATGTCTCTGAAAGAAATTATGATGTGGGAGACAGAGAGTTACTAGCCATCAAGGCAGCTTTGGAAGAATGGCGCTACATACTGGAGGGAGCATCCCACCCTATTCTCATCTTCACAGATCATAAAAACCTGGAGTACCTGAAAACGGCAAAACGCCTCAGGCCACGACAAGCAAGATGGGCACTATTTTTCTCCCACTGTCTTCCATTTGACGTACCGTCCTGGATCAAAGAATGGTAAACCTGACGCACTCTCCCGTATGTTTCCCGACCCAATTGTACAGTCTGAACCTGACACGATTTTGCCAGCCAAGAATTTCTTACTTCTCCAACAGACCTCGTAACGCAAATAAGAGAAGTGGTGGATAATCATCCACCTCCCAGAGATTTGCATCTTCAGTTAAAGGACGGTCTGTATTTCAACAAGGAACAAATCGTTGTGCCCGAAGAACTCAGGACTCTTATTCTCAAGAAATGTCACGATCATCCCTTAGCAGGTCACTTCGGGATTCATAAGACTTCAGATTTGGTCTCTCGCTCTTTCTGGTGGCCAAACACAATAAAGGATTCCCACGACTATGTCAGATCTTGTACAGTCTACCTTAGGAACAAGTCTGATAAAGCCAAGACTTAGGGCCTGTTGGAATCTTTGCCCGCTTTGAAAAACTTTGAAGAATGATCTCCATGGACTTTATTGTGGAACTTTCCCCATCGGAGGGATTCACCACTATTTTTGTAGTGGTTGACCGCCTGTCAAAGATGGCTCACTTCATTCCCTTGAAAGGGACTCCTTCGGCCACGGAAACTGCCTCCGCTTTTATCAAAGAGATTGTAGGCCTACATGGTGTTCCCCTTAATATCGTATCTGACCCAGGAGTGCAATTTACATCCA